ATTAGGGAGAGCTTAGATAATTTCTTTCTCGAGCATGTGGTTTGTTTGCCTGATGGCACTTCATTCATTTTATCTGTATGATTGCAGTTTATTTGTTTATTGCTTGATAGCATGTTGTTTATTTTTCAGTATGATTACTGTTATTTCATGACTGGCTTGAGGTTGAGATGAGCTTGTGGAGGCTGAAGCCCCACACACATTTCCTCCCTCACTTGCATTGCATGCATTTTACTGTTAAGCTGATGCTTTGTCTGTTTTGGCGTATCATTGACATGATCCCTTAGGACTCTCATCTCCTTTGATAAGGATTTGATGATAGACTTTTAGGTTGAAACCTATGCATGACAACTTCTAGGAGTTCCCTGTTCAAACCTCAACCATAGGATGAATCCATGGCATGATAACAGTAGGACTTGATAGTCTCCCTCCTAGTTGGGCCTGTTCTCTTCTCATCTCAAAACAGTCTAAGATACAGTAATCATGAATGATTTCTTTCGTACGTTACGAGCCTTAAGCTACCTGAGAAAGGATTGTGGGAGAGTTTCTTTTCCACGGTCTGGATGTTTAGTATGGTACCCTTTGGGTGACATGCGGCGCATTCACTCTCAGGTCATAGTCTCTAGTGCGGTTGAAATCGCAAACACAATAAAAAACACTTCTTTCAAAAAACAGGAAATAACCCGTAGTTTCCCGAACTACGTTTGCTCTGATCTTCCATGCAGTGTGGAAGTACGTAGGCATAGGATGCGATATCCTAGCGAGCAACCTTTCCCCATAACCCTTCGTAGACCGAACTACGTTGACTCTGATTTCTCATTCTCTGATGAGAATACGTAGGCATAAAGTGCGACGCTTTGCCGAGTCATTTTTCTTTTCTTTTTCAGCCAGTCTTGATAGGTAGATAGAATAAAACCAACCCGTCCAAGTAAACAAACAAGCGTGGATCCCGTCGAGTACGACGGACGTGAGGGGTGCTAATACCTTCCCCTTGCGTAACCGACTCCCGAACCCAGACAATGGTTGCGATGACCTTGTCTTACCCTTTTTCGTCAGGTTTTTCCGATCGTTTCCTTTCCCGCTCTGAGGGATAAATAACGAAAGGTGGCGACTCTTCTGTCATGCCGGCACCTTATTTTCGCGCAAGCGACACTTGGATTCTTCAAGATCAACCCTTAGGAATCGATTAAATCGGGTAAGGGTGTGAAATCTTATTATCTTAACCAATGTGTATGATTATGTATGTATGTGTTTGGATTGTTGGAAGTTTTCCATCTTTTTCCATTTTAGGTCGAAATGAGTTTAATCCATAGAAACCGATGTTTGAACGGGTAGAATCTGGAATTAATGGTGTCGTTTAGTCGAGGAATGTTAGGCTAAGACTACTGGAACTTTTTGGAATTGAATCGGGTGATTTTAGGAGTTTCTGAGGTTTTTGGACAGTTTGGGTTTTTGAGTACGCAGACACTCGCTAGCACGTTCGCTAGGCGAGCTGGTAGCGAGCTGCCAGTGAATGTTCCCAGCCTTGGGCAGAATGGAAATGACCCTTATTCGTTGCAGCGAGAGATGTAGCGATTTATTCGCTAGGCGAGGCTCCAGTGAGCCAGTAGAGAACACTTCCAGTAGCTTCTGACTGCCTTCGCAAGCTTTTTCGCTAGGCGAACCAGTAGCGAGTGCTCACCAAGGACTCGCTAAGCGAGGGGTGTAGCGAGTGTGACAATATTCTTATTTCTTGTTGTGTTCCATCTAATGTTGATTATTCGGCTCGATTGTGACCGATCCTTCTGAATTCATGGTTGTATGTTGTGATATGGTATGTTGTGGGTAGCCGTATGGCGTGAATCCTAGATTGTGGAATAGATTGTGAAATGTGGCCTTTTGAAAAATATATACATTGTTTAAATTGATTAAAAGTGTATGATGATTGTGATGGAGTTTGTTTCCGTTTGGCGCAATATTGTGAATGCATATTGATTGTATGCGATTATGTGTGAAGGGTGCATGAAAATATATATTATGTTTGAATCTATTTGATTCTTATATACTACTTGATGAATGTAGTGATGATGTTGAAGTATGGATGCTTTGATTATTATGAGATGTGTTGTGTGTGCAATCATATTATAATTCTTGTGTGATGAATTATTTGAGTATGCATGGGATTAAGATGCGAGAACGGTCTTAAGTGCATATGATTGTTGATTGCATACGCATCATTTGTTGTCAAGAGACAATGCTTGCTAGTTTCGTGGAGACTAGTGACTTGTCCCAAACCTAGAAGGGTGGGTTTGAAAGCTTAGAGGACGGGCTTTTGTTTGTTATCGGTCTAGAGGACGGATCCGATTTAAATGTAAAAACCGAAAAATGATAACAAGTGTTGGTACCACATGGCATGAGTTGCATTGAGTTGCATTGAGTCACATGGCATATATGTAATTGTGTATGAAAGTATGCTTATGTGTATGAATTGTTGAACTGAAAGTTGTGAATGTGTAATTGTGAATGATATTGACTGATGAATATCGAAGTGTGAGAATGTGTATTTTATGCTTATATATATATATATATATATATATATATATATATATATATATATATATATATATATATATATATATATATATATATATATATATATATATATATATATATATATATATATATATATATATATATATATATATATATATATATATATATATATATATATATATATATATATATATATATATATATATATATATATATATATATATAGTTATATGCATGACTATTATGATAATATTTCTCACCCTTCTGCTGTTTTATGGTGCTCTATGAGGCATTGCAGAGTAGGTTTGCTGGAGATCTTTTGTGAAGCGTAGCTTCATTCTTTTTGGTCGGTTGGCTCTGATATGTAGCACCGGGTAGCTAGTATGTATAGGATTCTTTTGTGATACATTTATATATGTATCTGGATGTTGAATGTTATGAAAACATGTATCATGATTGATGAATCAAACTGGATGATATGTATATGTATATGTTTATATGTTTGAAGTGATTTAATGTTTAGACTTTCCGTTTTTATTCTAAATGTTGAAGATGTGGGTGTAAGGATTAAGTTCCTATGTTACAAGTTACCCCATTGTTGCATATTCAATTGTTGAGTAGGTGTTGGATGTTTTAATTTCGTGTAAAATATGACATGCCTCTTTTATACCATGTTTTAATTATACTCTGATGGAATGTTTAATATGTGCTTAAACGATTTATGTGTTTATTTGGGGGTATAGAAAGGGGGTGTTACAGTAGTGACCCGAACTGTGGGGCTCTTTTTTGTCATTTGCACTTTATCATAAATAAAGGATGTTTTTGCATTCAAATATTGTGACCCCTGTTTTCTTGTTTTTGTTTCTTGCATTATATCGAAAAGAAAAATGGCAATGTGTTTTATTTGTTACATCGCATAATAAACATAAACATCATCATGCAGATCTTTTCTATCATATACCATCGATTCAGATTCAGCTATGGCTTCGTATAACTTTGATAATTCTATTTATCAAGTCGAAGAAGAGACTGATGAAGACTGTGAACTATCCGAAGAGTTAGCTAGACTTCTTAAACAGTAGAAAAGGTTCATTGTGCCTCAACAGGAGGATATTGATGTTATCAATATGGGTACTGAAGACAACAAGAAAGAGGTTAGAGTTGGGGCTGCATTGGAAGACAATATCAAGAGAAGATTGGTTGAAATGCTTTATGAGTATAAAGATATCTTCGCTTGGTCTTACCAAGACATGCCTGGGCTGGATACAGATATTGTGGCACATCGGTTGCCTCTCCGAGAAGAATGTTCGCCAGTCAAGCAGAAGTTGAGACAGACGAGACCTGATATGGCAGTCAAGATCAAAGAAGAAGTTCAGAAGTAGTTGAATGTTGGTTTTCTTGTTGTCACAAATTACCCTCAGTGGGTCGCTAATATTGTTCATGTTCCTAAGAAAGATGGAAAGGTCAAGATGTGTGTTGACTACAGAGATCTGAATAGAGCGAGCCCAAAAGATGATCTCTCGTTCCCCCATATTGTTGTGTTGGTTGATAACACCGCTCAATATTCTGTGTTTTCCTTCATGGGTGGCTTCTCTGGATATAACCAAATCAAGATGGCCCCAAAGGACATGGAGAAAACTACTTTCATTACACCGTGGGGGACTTTTTGCTATAAAGTGATGCCCTTTGGTTTGAAGAATTCCAGGACAACTTATTAGCGGGCAATGGTGACTCTTTTTCATGATATGATTCATCATGAGATCGAGGTATATGTTGATGACATGATTGCAAAGTCACAGACGGAGGAAGGACATCTGGCCAACCTTTTGAAATTGTTTGAAAGGTTAAGGAAGTTCAAGATGAGGCTGAATCCTAACAAGTGAATCTTCGGGGTGAGATCTGGAAAGCTACTAGGGTTCATTGTCAATGATGATGTGCACTTTATTTTCTCCAGGGAAATTAACACCGGAGACATTCCAAATTCCTCTTTAATAGGATTGTAGTGTGTCTAGTGTTTAACATGTGTTCAGATTGACACATGCGTCCATTATTATCAACTTTCATTGTCTCATTATTATCGGTGTTAAATCAAGGTTACTGTGAAGTTCAATGTCTGCCAATGTTTAATAGGTTTTAACAAAACTATTTGATCTTTATTGCTTAATAAATTACTATGTCAATGTTTTATAGGTTATAAAAAAACTATTTGATCTTTGATGCTTAAAAAATCTGTGGTGAAGAATCACTTTTCCAGAATTGAAGGGAATAATAGTAGAGACCATTCTCATGTTTCAACCAAAACTAAGGAATTCATACATGCAAAAGCAAATAACAAGTTAAGGTCTTCTAATGAGACACACTCCAAACCAAATGGTAGATTCTTACAAGCCAAATATGGAAAATTAAAAGTCAAAAGAAGATGAAGAAACCAATATCCATCTAATTTTCTGCCCAGCACTTTTTAGCAACCCTTATGCTTTGTTTTTCTTTCCTTTCTCAGCCTCCTTCCCATTTGACAGGGAGGCTTTAGCCAATGGTGATTTTGTCTCATTGTGGTTCATCTTATCTACTTTGGTTTTCTGTTGCTGGCCGTTGAGTTTCTTTGTTTGAGGAGACTGAACTTGAACCCGAACTTCCCATGGACGCGCTGCAACCCAACGCTCCATCCAGCTCCAACCCCAGCTTTCTTTACTAAGGCTATAAGAAGCCTGGCCAAAATACTGGTTACAGTTTGGCCTCCACTGCAATATCAGCTTCACATAAGTGATCAAATTTGAGGCTAAAGCAAGTAGAACTCATTATGTACCTGATGCGAGAAAGCATATGCCAAGGCTCGCTCTCGTTTAATTGCTGCTTCTTCTCGCTGATGTATCTTAGAAACTATCTCTTCCATTGTTTCAGAACCACTGCACCAGTCCATCTAAGATACATTTACAAAAAGTCGTATTTTATTAAGATTGAAACGATATCCAAAATAGTCTCGCATTACTTAAAAATAAAGTGGAAACACTATAGTGGTGATATCACCTCGAGCTCATTAATCTTAGCATCAATTTTTAACTGGCTTTCCAATCTCCTTTGCTTAATCCTGGCTGCTGTTATCATACAGATTCTGCGAGCTCGAATTTGATCTTGTATTCTGCTCCATGAATGTATATAGTTAAGTGTAGTTGATGTTTGCTCTCTTGCCATGTGATCTTGAATTAAAGCTTCAAAATTCTCTGCTCCTCTTAGATTTTGAAATGTTCTTCTTGCCTGTGTAGCAGCATAGGTTAAATTATTAGAATCAAACATCTAGATTGTAGAACCAGATCCTCGAACATTTTGATGTCTTGCAGAAATTGCATCTTGCCTTTCTCTTTATCTATCTAATAATATAGTATCTCTCATTTTAATTTTCTTTTCATCTCGTTTTCACTTCTCTCTAAGAAAAATGCATAGAGTGTGTTTGCTTCGTTATGAAATATTATTCTTTGGAACTCTATTCTTAGAATTATTTTTCTCTAATAATAATATTCGTATGTAAGTGTTTGACCAAAAATTATATTTTTCAAAAATATTTACAATATTTAATTAATTTAAAATTTAAAAATAAAATAAATATGAGTAGTAGTGAGAAGTTATATTAGATTTCTACTTTTTAAACATAAGAATAATTATAAGAAAATTCGTGTTTCAGAGAATAAAAAATACCTGTGAATATTTTCTTAAAACTTGAATCAAACGTTAGATTGTTACATTTTCAATGTCACATTTTCATTAATGTAATTCCAATTCATGAAACAAACACATCTTTAGAGTTAAAAAAGTCGGTTCCCTGGTTTCTCTTTGGTTGAAGAATCATGTATTTAATGTATTTAAATGCAGTCATGCAATTTTAACTATCGAATCAATTTATACTCTATTTTATATATATATATATATATATATATATATATATATATATATATATATATATATATATATATATATATATATATATATATATATATATATATATATATATATAAAAGATATAAATCAGTCTCATACAAAAAGAAAAGTCAAAGAGAGATAAAGAAAACAACAAAAGGTACCGCTGATATCCAACAAACGGAAAAACCAAAACAACAATAGGTCAAAAACACAAAAAAAAAAAAAAAAAAAAGATTCAAGACATAAAAAAAGACAACCAAAAGAAAGAGAACTCCCAATTCATAACACACACTCCACCTCTACCATTAATGGAAACAAATATTGACTAACAAAATAAACAACTATACCACCCAACACCATCAACTCGAAAAGCCAAGACACATCCAAAAGTGGCTATCGACTTAACACAATAATAAAATAGACTGTCTATTGAAGAAGATACACAAGTCATAGAAGATCTTGCCAATATACAATTTTCAAGTTGTGAATGAAATATACAATTTCTAAGTTGTGAATGAAGATAATCCTACTGACTAATTCCTTCACATTCACTGTCAACCCTTAAAAGAATAATTTTGGAATTTTGAAGGTTCCACACCTTATAATTCTAAACTAAAGTAATACATGCTCTAACTCTATATATACTTCCTAATGATCTAAAAACTTAGAGCAATACTCCTAACTCGATTGGTAATACCAACTCTAAATCTAATAACGTAAAAATTATATACTACTGGAGAGTTACAACTTGATTGGTGATGAAAAAATGAGAGGAAGTCTAAAAGAGACTAAACATCAATCGAGGGAAAGCCCATCAGGCCCCACCAAAATCCCCTATTTAAAAAACGTTCTCTCTCGTGGGGACTCTATTCTAAACTAAATTCTAGAATAAGGTTATAACCATATACGAGACTTGACTTTTCCAGAATAAAATAAGGATGTTGCCAACCCCAATAGCCAAATTAAACTCTTGAAAAGAAGAATTTATGAAGGACATATGCGCCAATTTGATAGAATACATGTCGTTTTCAGCATGGTTCCTTCACTAGAAATTCCGATCACGAGAAGAACTACAAATAGCCATATTCAAAAGTAACCTAGTAACTAAATCATCCTCCCAAACAAACAAAACCCTCATCTTACTCAGATCCCGAAACCAAGTCCTAACTTCTAGTGACCCATACTACTAACCACCATTTCATGCTGCAATGAGATTTGGTAAAGCCTATGAAAACGAAGGAGAAACATGATAGTACCTAACTAGAGGTTGTTCCAAAAGAATGTGTACATGTCATCTCCAACCTTTATTGGTAGACCCTCATAAAACTAGTTAGAACTAGCTTTTAGGTTTGAACCATCTCCATGCAACATCGACAAACACCATTTACCAAAAAATGCAAGATTTATTAGGCGAAGATCTCTAACACTCAACCGTCACCGGCTTGCAGACTTTTGACCACCACTTAGGCAATCTTGGAAGCTCTTTTAATACCATCAAAAGAAATATCTTCTAAATCCTAACTAACCTTTTCAAAAAGGAAAGATGGAAGATAATAACAGAGTTTAGAAAAAAAAGTTGAAGAGAACCACTCTTCTATCCAAACTAATATACTTGTTGCTCCACAAGAAAATCCTATTAGAAACAAGGTTGAGAAGACTCTTTGCAAGGATTCTTCTCGATAGGGAGCCCAATATACCTAAAATGAAGAGACTTAAAATGAAAAGAAACTTTTGTTATTGCCATGAAATTCGAAATCCACGTTCATCCCAATCAAGATACTTTTAGAGAAGTTTATCCGAGAACCTGAAGGCATCTCAAAGCTATAAAAAATGGTTTTTACACTCCTAATATTTTCCACCATAATGTCTTTCTGAACAAGCATATTGTTTGCATACTATAGGTGAGTGACCACCATTTTAGAGGACCTGACCTTAAAACCTTTAAAGAGGCCGATATCAACCGCCTTCCCAAAAGAATAGAAGTGGGCTGAAGGCTCTCCCTACTTAGAAGAGAATAGAAGTGGGCTGAAGGCTCTCCCTACTTTGAACCCCTATGAATATTAATTTCTTGCATGAGGCTCCGGTTGATTAAGAGAATTAAGTTTCCAAAAATGATGCACGCACATGCAACTTATTAGAAAACCTAAACATACTTAACTTATAGTCAAGAAAACTCTAGCTATTCAAATCATAAGTCTTTTCAAAGTCAATTTTGAAAATGAGACATGCTCTTTTAGTATTTTTGGCTAGACCAACAAGACCATTGATATTAACCACACCATCTACCAAAAATCTCCATTTAATAAAATTCAATTGATTGGAGAGATTAGTTTTTTCATTACCAAATAAAAACTAGATGTTAACACTTTTGCCACAAACTTGTATAAAAAATCAACCAAAAAATAAGACAAAAATCACCTAAAATGTTAGAAGAAACGATATTTAAGATAAAAGTAACAAAGTAGGACGAGAAGCTAAGAGACAAAGAAGAAGAAACAAAGGACATGTCAAACATAATCTCCACATCATTCTTAAGAAAATGCCCTAACTTCTTAAAAAAATATGAAATTAAACTCATCATTTCGCAGACTCTTATTCCCCTCACACTGACCCACACCTAAGATAAAGCATCACCAAATCGTCCCCGGAGGAAAAGTTCTGAAAAGTAACAACATCAAGATTGGACCTATTAGAGCAAAGTTCTAAAAAGTGATTAGTGAAATACCAAAATAATATTCCTCCAACACCATCCTCTGCCTTAAAATCCAAAGAATTAAATTCCCTATGTAAGCCTATGGATCCTCAAAATGTATAACCCAAAGATCTTCTTGCCTCACACCCTGAGATCACAATTTAAAGATCTCAAAAATTCGGAATTCTTTCCAACTTCAATCGGAGGTTTGATATTTGTATATCAATTAAAAAAATACCAAGATGAGAGTTGAGTTGATTAATGATCTTAACCTTAAGAAAATCGAAATCCTTAAATTCACAATGCATATCACTTATATACATCATGAAGTTAGTGTGAAAATAATAATATTAATGGAATAAAACTAGTCAAAGATCACAAAGATATTGTACCATAAATGAACGAAATGCATTTTGAATCCTAGTAGCAGCAATATTGTCAATCAACCTGGATGGAACTGTCCTGTCCATCATCAAGCCTTCATTCGGAGTACTACTCGACTCTTCATGAGGGCTTTGCTTCCCATTACAAGATTCATTTGATATTTCACCAGTAGATTGCACCTATTCAAACAATGCTAACTGCTAAGAGAACAAGAAGAAAAAAAACACTAGATGTGCAAAACCTTAATAACATGTCTTGTTCATAACGAGATTGTACCTTTTCTTGTTTGGATTTATCTTCCTTATGTTTCTTCCTTCTGAGTATTGCCTTAAACCATTTCTTTGGACCCATTTTGGTTGACAAACACTAAATTGGATCAAAAGAAAGATGCAAATGAAATGGTTATTAGGATAACATACAAGAGGTGTGAAATTGGAGGAGATGATTTATTAATGATGGATAGTAATGGTAAGACGTGAAACATTGTAATACAAGACATATAAAGAAAGAGCTAGAGAGAGTTCCATAATAGTGTGCCGTGACAACTTAACCATAGTGAAATAGATGTTTAATCTCTTGTAGGTTTAGAAGTCTATGGGAAAGGTGAGGGAAGGTAGTAGTGGCATTCAATATTTCATGTCCAAATGTGTCTTTGAAAATGATTTTTACTTTTATTTCATCATTGAAACAAAATATTTATGTTTTGTCATTTGATTAGGGATCTTTAATAATTGTATGTTTTTTGTTTTGACTCTTTCAATTTTAATGAAAGGATACTAAAAATGTAGAATTCAATTGAAAACTATATTTTTTTTTATAAATAATTGTTCAAGTCAAAGCTTAGGACATGATTCTTTCAAACAATCTACGAGTAACTGAAATATAAGTATGTTACCATAAGGGGGAGTCTGGCTCTTCTTAATTCGATCCTAAATACTATTCTCATTTTCTTCTTGTCTTTCCTCAAAATGCATGTCAAGGCGCAGAAGAGAATTGTCAAGTTTTAAAGGAAATTTACGTGGAGGGGGTAAGTGGTAATGATAAGATCCTTTAAGTTAGATGAGTGGATGTGTGCAAATTCAAAATGAGTGGTTCTCTTGGAGTCTACGACCCCCGCTTAGTTAACCTAGCTTTGTTAGAAAAATGGAGTCGGTGCTAGATTTTTAAGAGCGTCGGTCTTTAGAGGAAAATTTTAATTGTCAAATATGGGATTCAGGTTGTCGCTTCTTACAATGAGATTTTCACTCTTTGATTATAAATCTCGTGACACCTCTAGTTAATGCGTGGAAGGTATGAGGTGGAAAGTGGGCTCGACAATGCTTATATCTTTTTGGGATGATCCTTGAGTGAGCTCGCTCATTCCACTTAGAGTTACTTTTCATAAGATTTTCCCTATCTCTAACAAAAAAGAAGAAGGTGGGTGATATTAGTCTCTAGTTAGATTGGGCCATGGTCTGGAATTTTCGATGGCGAAGTTCTCCTTTTAACTATGAGCAAAACTTGATGGATAACCTACTCGTGACTATCGAGAGAGTTATCTTCTCGTTGGAGAGTGGCTGTTGGTGTTGGTACCTGGGGAAAATGATGTCTACTTTCTTGCTTCAGCCTATTGCAATATTTTTAAGTCTAATTTTTCTCTGTCTCTTTCCTCTACTAGTCTGAAACTTACTATGGCTTCCATTTGGTGCAGTTGGGTTCCCTTAAAAGTGGCAATTTTTTTTTGGTAACTTCTCCAAGATGAGATCCAAACTAGATAAACTTGTGTATCATATGGTTCATTCTTGATTCTAATGGTATTTCTTGCAGGTTATGTGTGTTGGACATGTGACTTCATACACAAGAGATGGGTAAATTGTGGATGTTTGAAAAAAAATCTTTAGTAAAATCAAAGTTTGAAAACATTTGTAAAACAAACAAGTAGAAAAGTAGCAGAATAAAAAGATGGATAGAAAAACAGAGGAAAGAAAATAAATGAAAAGTAAAAGAGATAAGGGAGAGAGTAAGAAGCCAGAGGTTTACATAGCTACGACCTAATTACTTGACATACTCTTGTCCTCAAGAATAATTGTGAGTATCCACTATCTTAAGTGTTTTTAATAGGATATGCCCACAAACCTCCTATTACAAGGATATGATGTTTTTCAACGGCTAACTTTCAACCAAACAACAAATAAAGTTTCGACTAGAAATTCTATAGATAGAGATGGAGTTTTGTTAGACAATAGGCTTCGATCTAGAGAGGGGGGTGAATAGATTACAAATTTTACAACCAAAAACTTTTGGAAAATATGTATTTAAAAAAAAAGGTGCAGCGGAAAACGGCTCGGATTGAATCGTCTAACCGAACCTACTATCAAAAAGCAATATATGTATCGCAAACCAAACGGAGTGATAACGAACGTAAATGTTCAACAACAATCAAGCTACGAAACAATTAAATGCAATGCTAATTGTAACTCATATATCCAATGAGCCAAAACGCAAACAAAATACAAACAAACAATTTATTGAACGCTTGATGTTTGGTCAATAATAATTGGAAATATAGTTTGTATTGTTGACATTAAAACCTATCACAATCAAAGTGATTGTGATTATATCAACAACAACACCTTTAAAAGATAGTAGAAAATTATTTCCAATCGAATTAATCAACTAACGACGAAATCGATAAATTGCATAATTAACAATAAAAGAAATAAAGAGATGAAGAGAGAGAGAGAGAGACCAAGATTTGTTTAGGCAATTCCCCAATCGGCCTCGGTATGGGTACGTCTGTCCTCAATTCAAAATCGAATTGAGATAGTGTTATTTACTTCTTCTTTTTTTACAAAAATGTTTATACAAGAGATGAAGAACGCAAATCCTGAAAACCCTATTGTTTTGTGTTGATTCTTCCACCTCCAAACCCTTGACCAAATCTTGATCAAGTGACCAACAATATGGCTACAATCCTCTGATTATCTCGAGCACGTAAGTTGTTGAAACCCGAGATTCCTGAATACAATTCACCGTCTTGCACTACTCCCTTGCAAGGAAACCACCTTGTCCCAAGGCTTTAACTCGGTCGAATCTGCGTTGACATGATCTCGCCCAAAACCTTCAAATTAACTCGATCTTGAACGAAAAAACCCACCTTGGTTTTCTTATTTGAAACAGACAAAGCCCCCAACCTAATAATCTCAGTTACACCAAACCTAATTGGATGTTATTAACCTTAATCTAGATGGTCACCCAATCGAAAAATGATTACGTGTAATTCAATTGTGAGTATGCATAGAAGAAGGGATGAAGATGATGGGAAAATTTGTAATCTGGTTTTGTTTAGATTTTATTCACTAGGAAACTTTGCCTAGAAGAAGATGCATGTATGAGTATATATAGGTGAAGGAAGAAAATGGGAAAAAGAATGAAAGAAAAATAAGATGCAAAAAGAATTTTTCAAGTTTTAACTTGCATAGGTCGATCTATGAAGGTCCTAGGTTAGCCTATGAAGGTGTTTAGGCCAGTCTGTGAGGCGACCTGAAATGCAGTCTGTGGGCAGAATCTATAGGCTTCGTTCTTGGAGCGTAGGAGCCGACCTAAAACATGGATGTGTCGGCCTATACTGACGCTGAGGCTTCCATAGGTCGGTCTGATCACATATAGGTCAGCTTATGTTGTTGTTTTGATACACAAACTTGATTTTTGATGTGTATGACATGCCTAAGACCTATTAAACTTGTTCAAAGACTCTTTTTATGCATCCTAAAGCTAAGGGGATAAATGAGCATCTAAATTTAGGTTGACACCGTCCAATATACAAAAGCCTAGATAAACTATCTTATTCCTTGTTTGACATCATTCAAAACCCGATTGAATTTGTAGTTGTAAATACTCAACACTCACAAGTTTTATATTGGCTATCCTCTGAGCCGAACCAAAGTTTTACATGGGGATGACCTTCAAAATGAGATGAGATTTTACACAAGCTAATCTTGAATAGATTGAGCTTTTACACCAGGATGAACTCAGGAAGTAAGATGAGATTTTGCACAGACTGATCTCGAGCTGACAGAGCTTTTACACCGGGATGAGCTCAAGAACCATTGTAAATGTTTTAATGGCTGATCTTCACAAACAAAAAGATAGCTTTTTTGTAGGCAAAACTTACCAACCAAAGACTTCCTAAGACATTCCCCAAATAAGAGCTTTTACTAATTTAGCTTACAATCAAAATAATTTCTTGTAGAAGAAAATTTTTATCAAGAGATACTACAATTTTGGTAAATTATAATTATACCCTCACCCATAACAATGATCCTCATTTAAGCACAAAAACACTCTTAAAGCATTAATGTCAAAATATAAGTTAGAAAATGAGAGATTTATAAAAAATGGAGAGAGAGAGAGAGAGAGAGAGAGTAGACATATATATTATTTTTTTAGTATTTTAAAATGATACATGAACTCTCTATTTATATGTCAAAGTTTAAAATTGGAAACAATCCATGGGCGAATCAATTGCCATAATTGATTATGCCAAACAATTATTACACATGAATAATCGATTGTTCAAGTCACAAATGGAAAGTTTCGATATTTAGTTGTTATCAATCATTAAGGGTATGTTTGGTTGTGAAGAAAGTATGAGAAGAGAGAAAAATATAAGAAAGAGTGTGAAAAGAGAGAAAGAGATGAGAAATAAAACATATTTGATGTATTGTTTGTTATAGGATAGAAATAAGAGAAATAGAGAAGAAAAAAATGTTAATTATTTGTGAAAGTACAAATATTCCCTTAAATAAAAAAGGACTTGTAGAATTCAATCTAATTTTTATTTGATTTTAATTAATAAATTAAATTATAATTACAATCAAAATAAATCATATTATTAATATTTTTAGTTATTTAACTAATTAAATGAATTTAATTTTAGAAGATTTAAGTAATTAAGTCTATTAATTTTGTTTATGAAAGTAAGAATGATTATAAGGTTTATGAATATTGTGTAAGATTACTGAAAAATGATAATAATGGAATTGAAATAAAATTGAGCATTATCGTTCCTTTTCTTTGCTGTTTAGCAAAGACTCAAAAATATTGTGGGGCCCATAAAAAACAAATCTCTCTTTTTGACTTCTCTGCAATCTAAACAAAAGAAATTTAACCTTTCTATTGTACTTCTCTCCTTAGTGTATCTTCCTTCCCATCTTCTATTATAACAAACATGCCCTAAGAGACTTATTTAAATCGATTATAAGTGTTACAAAGTAAAATAGTTGATTAGAGGATTAGGGTTAATTGATTATTTAGTTGTAAATCAACTCTAAGAAAATACCCTAATCATTAGCTAGGCCCTAAAAAGTTTT